TGGCAAGCTTTCCTGAACACCAACTGGTACGGAGACATACCAATTGGAGTTTTGTAGGCAGTCCTATAAGCCCATAGAGCATCATCCAATTTATTTGACCAATCGGTCCTATTTGCATTGACCGTCTTTGACAATATACTCTTGATTTCCCTGTTTGAGACTTCAACTTGGCCACTCACCTGAGGATGATAAGGGGTAGAAAATTTATGATTGACACCGTACTTTGCAAGCAAAGTGTCAAAAGCTCTATTGCAAAAATGAGACCCCCCTTCACTTATGATTGCTCGATGAGTGCCAAACCTAGTAAAAATACTCTTCTTGAGAAACACAACAACACTCCGGGCTTCATTATTGGGTAAAGCCACAGCCTCAACCCACTTTGAAACATAGTCAACTGCCACTAGAATGTATGTGTTGCCACATGAACTAACAAACGGGCCCATGAAATCAATGCCTCACACATCAAAGATATCAACTTCGAGAATCGTGGTGAGAGGCATCTCATCCTTCTTTGAAATTCCACTCGCTCTTTGACATTCGTTGCATCTCTTCACAAGTTCACTTGCATCCTTGTACAATGTTGGCCAGTAATAACCACAACTAAGAACCTTTGAAGCTGTCCTCGCCCCACCATGATGACCACCGTAGGGAGAGGAATGACAAGCCTCTAAAATACTCAATTGCTTCTCCTCCGGGACACATCTCCGGATCACACCGTCAGTGCAGATCTTGAACAAGTAAGGCTCATCCCAATAGTAGTCCAAACTATCCCGTTTAAGATTCTTCCTTTGGTTAGAAGAGAGCTCACACGGTACAATACCAGTCACAAGGAAGTTGGCCACATCCGCGAACCATGGCATGCTATTCACTGATACGGAGAGGAGTTGCTCATCAGGGAAAGAATCATTAATTTCAAGGTCATCAAGGGGCCTCCCCTCCTCCTCCAAGTGGGACAAGTGGTCCGCCACTTGGTTTTTACATCATTTGCGATCCACAATCTCCAAGTCGAACTCTTGAAGCAATAAAACCCATCTCATCAATCGTGCTTTGGAGTCCTTCTTGGTCATCAAGTAGCGAACTGCAGCATGTTCAGTATGAAATATCACCTTAGCCCCCATGAGATAGGGCCTAAATTTCTCCATTGCAAACACAATTACCAACAATTCTTTTTCCGTCATCGTGTAATTCACTTGAGCATCATTCATTGTTTTGCTTGCATAATACACCGGGTGAAATATTTTATTCAATCTTTGACCCAAGACCGCTCCAACCGCAACATCACTCGCATCACACATGAGCTCAAAAGGCAAGCTCCAATTGGGTGCGGTAATAATAGGAATGGTGGTCAACTTGTACTTGATGAGTTCAAAAACTGTCATGCATTCCTCATTGAACACGAACTCCGTATCCTTTTCCAAAAGTTTGCACAAAGGATTCACTACCTTCGAAAAGTCCTTGATAAATCTCTGGTAGAACCCCGCATGCCCAAGAAAACTTCTAACCCCCTTGAATGAAGTGGGGGGAGGAAGCCTTGAAATCACTTCAATTTTGGCCTTGTCCACCTCTATTCCGTTCTTTGAAATCTTATGGCCGAGGAAAATGCCCTCCTCGACCATGAAGTGGCATTTTTCCCAGTTGAGCACAAGATTCGTCTCTTCACACCGAGCCAACACTTTGTCAAGGTTCTTCAAACATTCATCAAAGGAGTCACCCACCACGCTAAAGTCATCCATAACACTTCCAAGAAATCCTCTACCATGTCGGTAAAAATAGCCATCATACATTGCTGGAAGGTAGCCGGTGCATTACACAACCCGAAAGGCATCTTGGAAAATACAAAGGTCCCGTATGGGCATGTGAAGGTGGTTTTCTCCTGATCCTCCGGGGTAATCAATATCTGGTTGTAGCCTGAATACCCATCCAGAAAATAGTAAAAGGCACGCCCCGCAAGTTTATCTAGCATCTGGTCAAGAAAGGGCAATGGGAAGTGATCCTTTCGAGTCACTTGCGGTAATCCATGCACACCCGCCATCCAGTGACAGTCCTGGTAGGAATCAGCCCATTTTGCTCATTAGTCACCATAGTCATACCACCCTTCTTCGGCACACATTGCACCGGAGAAGTCCAAGAACTATCCGAGATGGGGTACACAACCCCTGCATCAAGCCACTTGATCACCTCCTTTTTAACAACCTCTTGCATCGCCTCGTTCAACCTCCTTTGATGTTCCACGGAGGGCTTTGCATCATCTTCGAGAATAATCTTGTGCATGCAAAAGGCAGGGCTTATTCCCCGAATATCCGCTAGAGTCCATCCAATTGCCTTCTTCCGTCTTTGAAGCACCGCCAATGTGGCATCTACCTGCATGTTAGTAAGACAAGAGGAAAGAATAACTGGCAAAGTTGAACTACGGCCAAAGAATTCATACCTGAGGTGTGAAGGCAAAGGCTTCAACTCCAAAATGGGAGGTTCCTCAATTGAGGGCTTTGTTGGGGGAGTTTTTCTGTTCTCAAGATCCAGAGAAAGCTTACGGGGCTCATACGAATAAGACCCCATACCATGTAAAGCATTGACACACTCCACCCTTACTCCATCTTCATTGACATCTAGGTTCAACAATACCACCTCTAGAGTAGCCTCCACATTTATCATGGCACTAGTATCATCAACGGTCACCTCCATGACAAGATCCACAAAGGAGCACACTTCCTTGCTATTTGGTTTCTTCATTGATTTGCACACATGAAAGACCACTTTTTCATCACCCACCCGGAAGGTGAGTTCCCCTACTTCCACATCAACTAAAGCCTTCCCAGTTGCAAGGAAAGGTCTTCCCAAGATTATAGGTACCTCACAATCGACCTCGCAGTCGAGAATCACAAAATCAGCCGGCAAGATAAATTTGTCCACCCGAACAAGAACATCATCAATTATACCCAATGGCCTCTTCATTGTTCTATCCGCCATTTGCAATCTCATGGAGGTCGGCCTCGGTTCCCCAAAACCCAAAGTCTTGAAAATGGAGTAAGGCATCAAGTTGATATTTGCCCCCAAATCACATAGAGCTTTTGCAAAGTTTGCACTCCCAATTGTGCAAGGAATGGTGAAAGCGCCGGGATCTTCTAGCTTCGGAGCCATCGAGTGCACTATTGCACTAACTTGGTGGGTCATCTTGATGGTCTCAAATCCATGGATCTTTTCTTTGTCACCAAGTCTTTCGTGAACTTGGCATAACCCGGCAATTGTTCTAGAGCCTCCACCAAAGGCACATTAATTGATAAGCTCTTTGTCATGTCAATAAATTTCTTAAACTGGTTCTTATTTTTCTGCTTCGCGAGCCTTTGAGGATAAGGTGGAGGTGGCCTTGGCAAAGGAGGCTTGGCTTTAGGCACAACCGTTTCTCGCATGTCGATTACGTGTTCCCTAGACGGGTTCACGTCATTCTGAGTTTCCACCTCATTAACTTGCATATCAATCCCCACTTCCTCATTCAAGTTCTCATCAGTCACATTTTCAACCACCAAAGGGATATCATCCTCTTGCAACTCAACTTCATCACTCAAAATTTCTTTTTGTTTGGAGGCATTCACATACCCGCCTCGTCCACTTCTTGTAGTTACTGCCATTGCATGCCTGGTATTGTTCCCAATCTTCGGGTTGACTACCCTATCACTAGGTAGAGCCCCCTTAGGGCGAGTATTCAAAGATTGTGAGATTTGGCCTAATTGAGCCTCCAAGTTTCTGATTGAAGTATTATGGGATGCCAACTAGGCATCAAAGTCAGCATTATTTTTCATCATCTGTTCAAACATCATTTCGATTCTCCCCATTTCATTGTTGCACGAACTAGGACCTTGGGATGGAAATGGGAGCGGATTGTTCGGTTGTTGATACATCGGGGGCCTTTGAAAGCCTTGCCCCCGATTACCTTGATTGCTATTGTTCCAACCACCCTTATAGTTGTTTCCACCCCAGTTGTTGTTGTTGCCACTCCAATTACCCTGATTGTTCTGGTTGCCCCTATTTGAATTTTGGTTGTTGTTCCCCCAATTACTACTCCCTTGTTGTTGTTGTTTTCCCCAATTGCCTTGGGATCTCCATTGTTGTTGTTGGTTAGAAGAATTGCCTTTTTGGCCCTGATAGTTGTTCACATATTGCACTACTTCATTCTGCTCATCATACCCATCATCTTGGAACCCACCACTATCTTGGTCATATTGATCCGAACTCCCTTGGTTCTGTTGACCTCTTTGTCTTCTTTTGTTCACTAACATGTGGATACCCTCCATAGCATTTACTTGTCGTGGAGTTTGAACCTGCTGTAATTGTGCCTTTTCTAGCTGGTTCATTGTTATTTTCAGTTCTGCTATTGCCTGCCCATGATCATGGAGCTCTTCGTGCAAGTGAATGACCGTAGGGTCACCCTGTGGCACATTGGATCGACTTTGCCAAGCGGAGGAAGTGCCCGCCATCTCATCCAGTATCTCACAAGCCTGATCATACGGTATGTTCATGAAATTGCCCCCGGTGAGTTGGTTCACTATGCACTGATTTGTTGTGTTAATGCCTCGGTAGAATATCTGTTGTATCATTGCCTTAGTCATACCATTATTTGGGCATTCCTTTACCATAGTTCGGTATCTCTCCCATATCTCATGCAGTGGTTCGTTGGGCTCCTATTTGAAAGCTAAGATTTCATCCCTCAAGGTTGCTATGTGGCCCGACGAGAAAAACTTTGCAATGAATTTATCCGCCAACCCATCCCATGTATGGATGATGTGGTTGGGAAGTCTCTCCAGCCAATCCAATGCTTTCCCTCGTAGAGAGAAAGGGAATAATCTCAACCATAGGGAATCCTCGTGACATATTCGTTTGCTTGCTCCCCCAACATGTATCAACAAATCCTTTAAGGTGCTTGTAAGCATTTTGATGGGGAGCACCCGTGAAATACCCTCGCTGCTCCAACAATGTCAACATCACGTTGGTAATTTTAAAATTGCCCGCCCAGATCCGGGGCGGGACAATTGCACTGGCATAGCTCTGGTTTGGAAGCACTCGAGGTACAGCTCTTGGAGGTAGCGGGGGAGGGTCTAGAATATTATTATCATTGGCCTGTCGGCCTCTCCTTTGTCCTTGAGGTACTAGAGGTACCTCTTCCTCTACATTGTCATCAACCTCCTCCCACGGTGGAATATCTCTAAGAGGTGCGTTGTTTGCCATATTTTAGTACCTGAATTGATCATTCACCCAAGTAAGTAAACAAGAAGGAAATTAAAACTAAATACAAAACTAGATAGATAGATATCCAAAAACTATTTAGCTCCCCGGAAACGGCGCCAAAAAGTGATCGGGTCCAACCCTACACCACTACAGAGTGGCAAGAGCGGTCGATGCAGCTTTTACTTGAGAAGCTCGGGATCGAATCCACATGGAGCTAGAATGTTTGGGAATTGGGTTCCTATCTACACTAGTAACGTGCAAAGTAATTGTTTACACTTCTAAACATGTGTTGATGGTTCACTAATATAGATTATCACTAATGATGCTGAAATTAATCTAAGTATGATATCGTTTTGTGAGGTTTTCTTAATTTATGGAAAGGCACTAGGGAAGTGACTTTCCCCTAGGTGGATAATTGATGGGTTCTAAAGCCTAAGGCAAAGTTGTTATGTTTGGGTTTGCGATATAGCCAATGCACGAAATTACTCACTCTATACCTCTTGGTAGCTTGAGTGACTTTGCCCTAATCGGCTTTCTCAAGACCAATTGGGTGTCAAAATTGTGCAAGCAATATAGGCTCAAGTCGGGTATTACTATCTCTAGGTTTAACCCTTTAATTGGGGTTATCAATCTCTTGGATACGCCCCAATTCCTTGTTGGCCCGATTTTCCTAGACTGAAGCTCTCTTTCTCAAGAAGAGCCCAAGTCAAAAAGGCACAAATTAGTGTTTGCAACCACTAATTCAGCATGGAAAACACAAATCATTCCAAATATCAACCACCCAAAAACATCTAAGCCCTAAAATAAGAGACCCATCAAATACCCACGCTAGGGTTGAGCCACAACCCTAGCTAATGGGTCTAGCTACTCATAATAATGGAAGAAATCAGATATTGAGATGAAGAATAACCCATAAAATATAATTACAAGCTAAGATTCGAAGATTCAATGTTAAGCTAGCTACAAAATTACTCAAAATAGCTAAAAAAAAAATGGCGTTCACGTGCTCAGCTACATATTAGATGACCTAAAAATCTACAAAAGAAGTATTTATACAAGGCCGAATTTTCTGGACAAAAATTGCCCCTGAAGGAAGTACCGCGGACCGCGAAAAATGGACTGCGGCCGCAGTGAGGCTACCGCGGCCTCTACAATCAATCGCGGACCGCGGTCAAGGCTTTTTGGCTTCAAATCTTGTTCTCTGAATCTGGCCACCGCGGACCGCAATAAATAGACTGCGGCCGCGATGGCTTCACCGCTGCCGCATATAATCTACCGCGGTCAGTGGTTTCTTGAAAACTTCCAAACTTCAGGCTCTCTGAATCTATTCTCCGCGGACCGCAACAAATAGACCGCGGCCGCGATGAGGCTACCACGGCCGTGTAGAATCAACCACGGGCCGCGTTGTTTGAAATTCCAGAATTGCATCTTCTCTAATCTTTGCCACCGCGGACCGCGATAAAAGAACCGCGGTCGCGGTGGGTTTGTTGCAGCCGCCTTGGATTTACTACTGTAGCGGTGCTTTGACTTGTTCTTGGCACTTGTGCAGGTTTCACTACTTTTTGAGATGGTTTTGACTTCCTTGTCACTTCTTGACCAAACACTGCAAACAAGCACAACATGTAAGCTTTAGGGATTACTTGTATCACTTTTCATCCAAACTCAAGCAAAAAGGAGTATAAAATAGACTAGAATCCCTACTTATCACACGTATTATCCGCTTAGCCCTGCACGAATTTATTCTTTTGGGCTATTCCACCTCGAGCCCTTAAAGCGCACGTACATGTGAACTTAACAAATGCCTTATATAGATATTGAATTTCCTCTCCTATTCTAATGTGGGATTATCCTAAGGTGACATGTCCACCCCTTATTCAGAAGCTTGCTAGCCTAGAAGACCGCTAGTCTTGCTTGACCCGCCCTCATCAGCCTGCCCTCCGTCATGGGCATCACATGCATCCCCCCTTGGGACTCAGTGTCCTTGCTGATGTTTGACCCACGATCATACTAAGGGAGATTCGGCTCTGATACCATATTTGTCGAGACCCAAGCCCATGGCATGTATTGTACGCTTTGGGCCTAAGGCCTCACATATTTGTCTTTTTTGGGCTACGCCACCTCGAGCCCCAAAAGCGCGCGTACCATGTGAAATGAACTCATACGTTATATAGCTCCTCTCCCATTCCGATGTGAGATTCGCCTAAGGTGACATGTACATCCCTTCATCAGAAGCGTGCCATCCTAGAATCCTGCCATCCCTTCTTGACCAGCCCTATGTCATGGGCATCACATTATATGTCATTATTATTCATTATATGACTAATTGAGCATCTTATTCATGCTAGAATTATATTATAGGAATCATTTACATGATACTTTAACATTATGGATTTTATGTACTTGTGTTACATGTTAGAACTATCTAGTCATATACTGTCTCTTTATATGCACAATGTTAGCATATGAATATAGTTCTCATCATTCATCTAAGATGTTTTGGGTGTGTGATTCACTTTTCTCTGTTGAGGAATCTATTTCGGCATGTGGTTTCTTATTCTTGATTAATGCATTTGTTGGGAGTATGGATTCACATTCCCATTATTAAAATATTTGTTCGGGCATATAGATTTATGTACAGACTCCGTCTGGATATGGATCCATCTCTCAAGAGTGACTGAACACCGATATTTCACCGACTGTGTGCATGCAATGGACAGATGGGTTCGTGTAGGACACAAGGATTTGTATCGATTTGGTACCAAGTTTGAGTCTTTATTATGCATAGACATTATAGATTAATGTATACACTCAAACATATTATCTACAAATGCGTATTATGTATTTTATACATGTGTGGGACTTGATAGCAGGTTGTTGGATACTTGAAGAGTATCTATAATGACTCGACTGGTCATTTTCAATATTAGAGTCCTGTTCCCCTATTTGATGCTCAGAGTTTCTTTTAATATTTTGTAACTTGCGAAAATAGTTAGTTTGGTTTTGGGAAGGTTTGGGAGTGAATTAGAGCACTTAGTTCTATTTTGGAAGCTTAAGTTATAAGAATTGACCAAAGTTTGACTTTTGAATAAAAAACTTGGATTGGTGATATGTTGGTTCCAATAGGTTCGTATGTTGATTTTGGACTTAGGCGTACATCCGAATTTTGATTTGGAGGTTCCTCGAGGATTTTGACTCTATTTGTTGTAAGTTGGCAATTTAAAGAATTGAAAAGTTTATAGGTTTGACCAATAGTTGACTTTGAAGAATCGGGACTTTGGATAGGTTCATTTATTTGAATGAAACTTGTGCACAAGTTTGGTTGAGATCTGTGGTGTTTAGGAATGAATCGAACACTTGGTTGGACGCTTGGAAATTCTGAACTTAAAAGAAGTTCAACTTGTGGTTCGATCTTTGATTCTTAGATGCGATATTTTGTATGTGTTTGGAGGCCTTAGATAGGTCCGGGTAGTGTTTATAGACTTGTTGATATGATTTGATGGGTTTCTGATGGCTCGGGTGAGTTTCGGATAAACCGAAGCATGTTTGGAGATTATTGATTTTTTGGTGTCTGGTGTTCATCGCACTCACGAGGAAAGTCGCATGTTCTCGATGAAGGAACTGAGAACGGGGGATTTTTGTGCTTCACACTTGAAGAGCGGGATCCGCGTTCGCGAATAAGGAGGTCTGGGTTATGGCCTTGGTGTTCGCATGTTGAAGGTCGCGTTCGGGAAGAAGTCTGGGTAAAGAGCCTTCGCGTTCACGTTGGGCCTTTTCGCATTCACGAAGAGGAGAGGAAGATGGCCTTCGAATTTGCGAGACTCCTATTGTGTTCGCGAAGGAGGATTTGGCCAGAGGCAGATTTGTGCTTCACGAACGCGAGGCTTGGGCCGCGTTCGCAAAGGGTAATATTGGGCAGACTACATAAGTTGTGATTTTTGAGATTTTTACCCATTCTCTTATATTTTGAACCAAGGCTTGGAGAGGGACAACTTTCATGGAGATCTACCACTAGACTTATGATTTATACAAGGCAAGAGGGTAAGTGATTTCTACTAAGTTCTGATTATATTTCAAGAATTTACATGGATTTCTAACCCCTAAAACATGGATTTTGTGAGTTTTTAACATAAATGTGGAACTCAATTTGGAATCTACTTATATATTTAGACTCGTGAGGTAATGGATAGTCGAGATCTACCACTAGACTCAAGTTTTTACCATGTGGGTTGCGGTTGACCTTTGTTGACCTTTTGAGAACTGATTAAAGAATGAAGCTTTTAGTTTGATATTGATTTTATAACATTATTTGACTTATTTGAGTGATATTTGTCTAGATTCAAGTTGTTTGGAATTTGATTTAAAAGGAAAAAGAATTTTGGAAAGTTAAAGGTGTTACCAAGTAGAGGTAAGTCTCTTATCAATCCTTGTAAGAGGGAATTCTCCTGATCGGTAATTTATTTTCTACTTGTTGCTTGATTTAGGAACCACGTATAGGCGAGGTGACGAACATATATGGGTAGCTAGGTTAAGATCACATCCGGTAGAGTTTGGCTTATGATTTTGCCTTGTTTGGACTATGTGAATTAATTATCCATTTTTTATTGATTCTATGACTACGTAATTACTCATAATTATGATTAGAAGCATGCTTAAGGTTATGGCTTGTTAAATTGGGCATTAAGGATTATTTTGTCATGTTGAGATTTCTTATTAAGCTATAGTCATATACTTGTCTTATTTGACTCATGATTTTGTCGTTAAATATCTTAATTTACTCATGTTAAATGTTACGATTAGACTTTTAATGTTGAAATATTTTATTGAACTGTTGTGCTAATTGAATAACATGAATATCCATAGCCATCTTTTAGCCATGTGAGTTTTTATCTACATTTCTATTATTCTGTTCTAGTGTCTCTTAATTATATTATTTCATATACATATGCATGAGTTGAAGAGTTGAATATTGAGAAAAGTTGAGGATTTTGGTACTAAGGACA